TTGTGTGCTGAATAAATGGAACGGACAGTCAAGAGATAGAGGCAGGCTATTCAGAGAAATGTCTAAATTCCCCTACTTTAGTAGCACAGGCAAAAGGGCCACAGTGATGCAGAGGGAAGTCCATTTTATCTAGTGCTTTAGAGGGGTGATTTTCTACAAAAAGCACCTGCTGTAGGGTGACCAGAAATAGAAACATTTCAACAAGGTATGAATGCATGTATGCTTGACTAAACAAAGAAAGGTCTGAAACACCCAAAGCAATGAGAATTTTAGGGTAACAAGCTTTAGGACTTGGGTGTGGGTGGGCACAATCTTAACACAACAGAGAAATGAATTGACATGGTGCATTGTTGTCAGGGACCCCATCCACCATTTATTTCCATGTGTTTCTCTGAGTCTAGACTGAAGGCTGTTATCCCTGGAGAGCTTCTTTTCCACATACTCTTGGGCACCATCCTGTTAGAGACACTCTGATTAGAGACTCTCTTACCCTGATCTCTTTGTTCCACCTTCCCTCCACCCTGATCAGACCAGCACCACAGTGTCCAGCACCACAGACCTGTGCATATAACCTCCTCTTCTGCTGTCCTGTAGTCAGTCTAGGGCAGAATAAACAGTGTAACCTGGGAACTCCACACAAAACTTGATGCCATTCAGCAGCCACTGTCATCATGGAAGTGACTAACGGGAGCTTTGACATGAGCCCTGGTGCTTCCTGTGACATTGTCTCTGGGACCCAGGGGCCTGGAATCTCTGGGTTGGGTGTCAATGCAGACCTCCCTCCCCCCCACGACTCACACATCATGGACCAAGGTGGTGACACTGGTCCCTAGCTTCCTGAAGATTTCCGGTGTATGTGGTCACAGGTAGCAGTAGAGTGTCTGGAGTGATAAGACAGTGAGTGACAAACCAGCACCGAGAGCCCCACTGAGGGCAGGGTGAAATGGATAAGAGTTTGGGAAGGAAGAATAGCTCCTGGGGAGTGGAGGGTGGACAGGCTGGATAGTTGGGTGGAGTAGGGCAGGGTCCCTAGGAGAGAAAGGTCTTCACCTCCAGGTTGCATACAGCCAATGCTGGAAAGCTTAGCTGAGTCATTTGCCTTTGGGACCTGTAGCACTACTGCCTTCTCCTAGACTTCAGGGTCTCCTTCACATCCTATCCTCTCAAAACCACAAGGAGACTGGCTCTCCTGCATTGCCTCTTGTTCTAGAGAACTGTGAGAAATGTTCACTTGTGTGCCATCCCAACTTTTGAAAAGGTCATGAGCAGAGCCTGAAGGCTCCTACCAGGTGGCACATGAATGCCATATACTTCTGCAAGTTTCCACCATGGACTGGGGGCAGGAACGATTTGTTTCTATTCTAGTTTCTACCAGTCCCCTGAAGTCTTTCCAAGATAGGACTGTATCCTGAGTCTGACCTGCCCTGATTAGATCTTTCACAGATAGGCTGTGGACGGTGGCTCTGGGTGGCCATCTCTCCTTCTTACCTTGTCCCTGAACCAAAATGGATGCTGGTCTGCCCCCTCCCACTCCTGCACCTCCACTTAGTGGCAGAGCACAGAATGACAGTGTCCTAGGTTATGGGGGACATCATCAGGGTAGGAGTGTAGTGGGGTTACACTGGAAACTTGACTCCTATTACACCCAGAGGTACAGGTATCAGTTGGATCAGGAAGCAGTTCTTCTTGTGAAAGTGTTTCATTTCCATCAGGACCTGTGTCCAGAAACTTCAGAGAAGGAATGTTGATGGTATTCTCCTGTCTCAGAGACAACTGGGGGCAAAGGGTTCAGGTGGAATCAAAAACTGTAGACTGATTTTGGACAGAAAGACTAACACAGGACTTAGAAGCAGCTAAGGAGCCCTGGTGGTACAGTGGGTTAAACATTGGACTGCTAATATTAAAGTCTGTGGTTCAAACTCCTTTGGAAAGGGATGAGGCTCATTCCTTCCAAAAAAATTAACAGTCTGAGAAAACCACATGGAGCGGAGTTGCTATGAGTCAGAACTGAGTAGACAATAGTGAAAACGGTTGTAGCATCATGGGGGGTGGGGGTGAAGAGTGGTGTAGCCTAGGAGGGCTCATTTGGAACATACATTACCAGGGAACGGAGGGCATGGTCCTCAAACCCGCTCAGTCAGAGGCACCCTCACACCCACCCTCCCTAGTGTGAAAAGAGGCTGCAGGCTCAGACTCATCAATGAAAAGGATACACTATATGCAACAAACTTCCAACCAGGTGACTGAATATGCCAAAACTGGTGGTGAATGCCAAATCTAGGAGCATGGTCCAGACTACCACCTGGTGGGTATGGAGGGGCCAGGACCAGCTGTTACACTAGGCAGCAGTGGTCCTTCACCCTGCTGGACCTGGCTTCCCGGACAAGGCAGGACAATGGGAGCATCAAGTATCTGAAACACCTCAGTCCCCAACCAAGCCATGGGATGTGACCTGCAGCAACCAGACCCCCTTGGATTCTGCACATTGTCCCCAGCCCCCACGCTGGGAACAACTGGGCCCAGATCCCACATTGTCTCTGCCTGCAGCTGCCACATCTATGGGGTCTTAGCCTGTCACCCATACTTCCACGGGGTCTTCTTGCTTATCCCAGGTTCACCCCATAATTATTTATTTCTAAGTGCCTTCCACCCATGTTGGTGCATCCTGCACTTGGGGCAGACTACATCAAAATACCCCCATCATCAAGAAGAGAAAAAAGGATATATATGAGCATTCGCCAAAAAATAATTCTAACAATCAAGAGCATATAAAAATGTACTTTCATCAATAAATAAGTGCACATGAGATAGAAGTTGCTGTCAGTCCAATTGACAATTGCAGTTAGCCCTGAGAATCCATGGATTCTGTATCTGAGAATTCAAACAACCCCTCAAAATATGAGAACATGAAGCAATTAAGCCATCAAAGAAATGCAAAGAGAGAACCTATTAATGCTATGTAAATATTATTTACCTTGATTTAGGTATGGCAAGTCTTCAAGAGATGATGTAAATAATATGGGATGGGATACTTAGGTTATGGAGTTCTGGTGTGGCGCTGTGGGCTAATGCACCAAACTGCAAAGCCGTTTGAACTGCAAGGTTGGCGGTTCAAGCTCATCAGTGGCTCCACGGAAACCCTATACAGGTTCACTATGGGTCGGAACCAACTCAATGGCACTTAACAACAACTTAGATTATATGCAAATTATTTCCCTGTTTATATAGATTTTTGTATGCACAAGAGTCCTGGAACCAGCCCCTGAGGATATCGAGGGAAGACAGTATGAAAAGTGTTTCCACTGTTATCTGTGGAAGATTTTCTTAGAAGACTTTGTAGCCTTCCTCAGTGATGAGCCTCTCCCCAGCTGGGACCTGCCCACTGGAATTCTGGGGACAGTTCAACACTTCTCCACACCCTCCACAGCAATCACACATTTCGCGTCCCATCCCACACAATCCCTGGGAGTTTCTGAGTCATTTGTTTTGATTTAATATGTGCACATTTAGTCCTGGATGGACTTTAGGAAGGCCAGAGAGTAAAAGTACCTGGTCACAGTTCAGAAGTAAGAAATTGACACTACATTTTTGATTGCCTCCAGACAGGTCTAGACAACCAGTGCAGGAAGTCACAGGGATCTCTAGTCTCCATTTAGGAGAAGACCTTGGTCAAAGATGGCTGGGAAACCACCCATGTAGTGCTTTGACTGGTACTGAGAAGGGTGTGACCCTCAACCACTGAGTGGGATTTCTGTGGCACCCAGATGACTGTATATGTGTCCCTCAGGGAGCCGCCAGTGCAAACACAGGAGGGGCTGGCTCTAGAGTGAGTGCCCCATGGGTGGGATTTGGATTTCTTCCCCAGACCTTAGGGCCTGCCCTGGTCACTCAGGAAAGAGCTGAGCATGGGGTCCAGGGAGCAGCTGTAGCTAGGAAACATCTTGAAATCTGCAACTATGTCCCAGGAGGTAAAGAGCCATTTTAAACCTCTTCAGGATTGAGTAATACCAGTCAGGCAAAGACTTACAACTGCTTCTGTTTTTCGGGAATATTCAGGAGTTATCTGTGGCCTTCATACTTAGATGGGTGTGTGTTTTGGTGTTTTTATGCTTTCTGATTGCCTCCAGGTAGATGTGATTAGGAAATAGACTTCCCTTTTTACTCTTCTTCTTGAGAAATTTCAAGATGCCACTCTTAGTCATTTTGACGTAACTTAGGATTTAATTTTTGGCCGATTTCCTTTTTTGTCAGCCTGTCCTGCTCCACAATCCTTGTTCAGGCCTTTTTTCTAGTTATAAACAGTTCAGGGCCGGCTGTGGCCATTTGGTTTTAAGTGGAAACTGTCTCTTTAAATTTCGAGGAGATCTGTGCACATACGTAGTAGAACCCTCCAATAAAAGAACAAAGTGTACCCCAGTCCTAATGATTAAAGAGGAATAGCAAGCAGTAGTAGGTGGGAAAGTAGCTTTGATTTTCCATTTGTGGGTTCTGAATCTATTATGAAGACAAGATGTATTCTGGAAACTTGACAAACTCTTGTCCCTACCTCAATGAGACAGAAAATTAGAATCAAAATCATCACTACCACAGTCACAGATATTACCAAGATGAGTTTGTTGCTATAACCATATCCTGGATCTTATTTTGTGAGCTAAAATAACAGGAGGAAAAAAAAACACTTTTTTTAAGAACTGAGAGATTCAAAGGCTAATAGCTAACTGTTCAGTTTTCAGAACTCAGTGCTTCCGGTTGAATCTAGCTTATAGGTTCATCAAGAACATACACATTTAATGATCTTACTATTAAGCGTTCTTTTTGTAGAATAATGTTAAGACATTTTCTTGTCTACACTAGGAATATGGGCACCATTCTCTTAATAAGTAAAGTAGGGAGTGACTATCTTAGCCAAAGCAGTTTGTTAGGATCAGATATGGAGTAGGTGCTTGGCTACTCCAAAGGCATGTCCTGAACTCTGATGGAAAATTCTGGGTTCTATGTTTCCAGAATTGTCCTCACCTCACTCGACTCCTGCTCTTTTTGCTCACCTGGGACTTCTCAGTTTTCCATCGGTCTGTATCCCAGTCTGTTTTTGATACCTTAACATCTTGCTGCTCACTGAGCAGCTTCATCAGGAGGCCTGTTCTGGAGATGAGCTTGGCACAGGCCAGTTGTACATGGGGCTCAGAGCAGTCCATTTTCAAAGTCCACATAACATGAGAAATGAGCCTTCTCACATCATTGTTGGGGATGAGGGACCGCAGCTGCTGGATTAATTGGATTTCAAATTGATCACCTGGGGATAAGAACAATGGGAGAGAGGAGCCTTTGGGCTCTGAGGGTAAGTCAGTGCCCATGTTATAGTATTCCCACTGTGTTTCATTGGTTTGTTTAACAGTTGGCATTAAGTTGTCAGCAGTCACAGCAGAATCTGCAGTGGAAGGATCCTTATGGGTAAAAATTTCAGGAGTAGTCTCATCTGTCACAGTAGCATTGGGAAAAGTATTGTTTTCTAAAGGTTCTGACAAAAGTAATTCTGGAAAGGGATTTTCTGGAGAACTCAGGCCTCCTGCAGATGAAAACACTTCTCACAGAGGGGAATTTATGAGGCTCCTTAATGCAGGGAAAGCAGGTCTCTTTCTAAGCATGAGCTTATGGAGGGAAGGTTTTTTTTTTTTTTTTTGAACCTTCAACTTGGTTTGACCTTTGGTCTTCTATGAACCATACACAATTGGGATTTATGGAAGATGTAATTTTTTCCAGAATGTGATACTTTTTTAGGAACCTCCATATTCTTAACTCTAGCATTTGCACCTTCTAAAACAAAAATGGTGTAACTCAAGTCTTTTGATTGGTTTCTAACTTCAGGTGGGGCTTTTGAAGGAGGCAAGGTGAAACCATGCCCTTTGAGTATTGTTTTAAGAAAGACGAAACTACTGTCTTATGGTTCTTGATGTATGATGGCTCTGTGTTGAAGGAGACTGCCCCTAATTTCCGCGGCCACTGTACCTGAGTCAGTTGCTCTATCCCCTCCATGCTGGCCACCTGAGCCTTCTGGCTTTGGGGGTGTTCTCCACAAATGACTCAGCCCTCTGTTTCCTCTTGATGTTCTCATCTTCAATTGTTTGAAATGCCTTTTCCTCATGCCCCTTGGCCTCTTGAAGACTCTGTTTACCCTCTGCAGTCTTTTCCTGGCACCTGTTCTCTGGATCTTTGCCAGATGGTTTTCCCGGGGCTAAGCAGTTTGCAATTTTGGGGGAAAGATTTGGTGTTTAAATTTGGCACCTAAAAAATTGGGTTGCATAGCGTGCCTATTTTTTCTATATTTTTAACCTCATCAATTTTTTCTTGAATTTCTGCATCTAACAAATTTTCCAGAAAATACCATTTCCTCAATTTATTATTGTAAGTGCATTTTTGGGTACAGATTTAAGAGAGGGATTCCCCGTGTTGTTTTGCAAATAATCCAGGGCCCTATCTCTGTCTTGTACATTTGAAAACAACAGTTTAATGAATGGTAATAGTGTTGATTCTATATCTTCTAGATTTCCTTCAGAGAAATAAGGCAATATGTAATTGAGGGCACTAATAACATCACTTTCATCATTAAAGTCTTGCAGCTCGTTCAGGACAGTTAACAAATTGACACCACATTTGTCTAAGGATGCCTTCTCTGGCTCAATAGCCAGCTCAGTGCTGGTGTTCTTTTTCCGGGCTTGTAGTGCCTTCATGAACGTTCTTTCCGTTGCACTGAGAAATGCTTCTTCACCTGTCAAAATAGAAGCGACTACGTTTGATCATGTAAGACTGGTGAGATGGCTTTTTGTCAATACGTAGCCATGTATCCCAGCTGAATAAATTAGGAGTTAACAAAAATTTGAGGAGAAAAATAAACTCAGATTTATGTTCCTAACTAACAGCGATGTTCCATTATGAGTGTGTCTACTATGTCCCTCCTAGTTCTTTGGAATAAGAGGCTACCTACTCATGACATTGCATAGAGTGAAAGTTACTAACTCTATTTAGGGTTATACAGGCTTGGTGGGGCAGTGGTGAAGCATTCAGCTGCTAACAAGCAGGTCGATGGTTTAAACTCATCAACTGCTCCAGAGGAGGAAGATATGGCAGCCTGCTTCTGTAAAAATTCACAGCTTTGGGAACTTTGTGGGGCAGCTCTCCTTTGTCCCATATGGTTGCTATGAGATGGAATTCACCCAATGGAAACAGGTTATAATATAGGCTTATTCCAATGGTCTCCAAGGGTCAATTGGCCAGTACTTAATAAAAGTCCACAGCTGGGAGACAAAGATTCTCCCACTTAGCTAGACCCATCTGTCATCTCTCCTCGTATACGTATGCCACATAATGCCCTGCTTCTGATGCAAAGGAATCTATCTTCTCTCCACTTCTGTGACCTGACATTCTTGTTGCCATCACACACAACTGCTTTGAAAGACCAGAGTTCTGAGGGCAGGAGGGACACAGCTATTAAAGTGCTCATGGGCTCATGGGTCCTCATCTGAACATGCCCTTTTCCACCCACCTACCCAACTCCCTTGCTTGGTCCCTGCTGCCTTATATCCTAGCCTCATTGTAGAAGGTTTGATGTGCCACTATGGATTGTGCACCCTGATTCTTTTCCTAAAATGGGCCTGAGCTCTGTGGTATAGTATGTTCAGAGAAATTCCCCTCTTTGGTTTTAGTAAGATGCTTAAAATTTTACATTTTATTTTGTTGTTGTTGACAATATACATAGCAGGACATACACCAATTAGCCAATTTCTACTTAAGCAATTCAGCAGCATAGATGGCATTCTTCAACTTGGGTGACCATTCTCACCCACCTTTGCTGAGTTAGTTGTTCTCCATCATTAGCATAACTCACAGCCACCTAATTTCTTATCTAATCTTTCAAGTTGCTATTGTTACTCTGACATCAAATAGATAGTTCTTAAGGAGCCCTTGTGGCACAGTAGGATAAATACTGGACCGCTAACCCTAAGGTGGGCAGTTTAAACCTACCAGCTGCTCTAAGGGAGAAAGATGAGGTTTTTTGCTCCTGTGAAGAGTTAGAGCCTTGGTAATCCTCTAGAGGGTCTACCTGAGTGTGAATTGATGTGATGGCACTGGGTTGGGTTGGGTTTTGATTCAAACAGTTCTTAAAAGAAGCTTCTCCTCAAGACGGACACTCTTTACTAGTTAAGCCAAAACTCCTGGTGTTAGGATCAGCACTAGACGTCAACCCACAAGGTCAGCAGTTGAGAAAAGGCCCCAAGTTTGGGACACCTAACGCAAAAGGGACCTCACCACTTTGTCAAATGGACCAACTACATCTGGCTGCAGAGGCAATGGGCTCTCCTCCACAAAGAGCTGAAAGTGTCCCCTGCCATTAACCAGTTCACCCATGACTTGGATGACCAAAGAGACACTCAACTACTGAAGCTTCCCACAGATACAGGCCAAAGACGATGCAGGAAAAGAAGATGAAAGAGAACAAGCTGCTGTCCCCAGCTCAAAAGAAGGCTACTGACAAAGGGGATATCCCCACCAAGAGGCCTGTGTTCTGTGAGCCAGGGTCAAGGCTTTCTCCTCTCTGGAGGAGAATAAGAAGGCCCAGCTGGTGGTGATCACACAGAACACGAACCCCATAGAGCTGGTTATCTTGCTGCCAGCCTTTTATAGTAAAATGGGTGTTCCCCACCACATCATTGCAGTCAAGGCCCTATATGGATGGCGGGTCCACAAGAAGACCTGTACCACTGTGGCCTTCACACAGGTGAAATTGGAAGACAAAGGATCTCTGAGAAGTTGGTGGAAACCATCTGGACCAATTACAATGACAGATGCACAAGATCTGACGTCAGTGGGAACACAACGTACTAGGCCCCAAATCGGTGTCTCGCTTCACCAAGTTGGAAAAGACAAAGGTCAAAGAACTGGCCACCAAATTGTGCTACTCTATGTGGCTGGTTTCTCTGTACATACAAATAAATTCCTTCTTCAGATCAAAAAAGAAAAATATTATGTTACCCATAGTTTCTTATGATCCACAATATTGAAAGCCATCAAATAGTCAATCGAGTGCAAGTATTCTCTGCCTTCAGCTAAGTTAAACAACTACCATCAGGAATGTTATGTCTATTTAAATATTCTCTTCTGAATCCAGCTGATATTTCGGACAGTTCCCTATTGATATACTGCTTCAATCTTTTTGTAATTATCATCAACTAAATTTGACGTGGGTCTGATATTGATAAAGTTGGATGGTTTCTACATTCTGTTGTGTCACCTTTCATTGGAAGAGTCAAACTATGGATCTCTTCTGATGGCTGACCAGGTAGCTGTCTTCCAAATTTCTTGACTCCGGTGAGGGAGTCCTCCAGGGGTATATCAATTTGTTGAAAGATTTCAATTGATATTCCTTTAAGTTTTGGAACTTTGATTTTGTAAATTCCTTCAGTACTGCCTGGACTTTTTCTTTCAGTATCATTGGTACTTGTTCACATGATACTTCTTGAAATTATTCAACATCAAATAATGCTTTTGGGTAGAATTAGCCTCTGTATTCTCCCCTTCTTTAGATTTTTCTAGTGTCATTCAATACTTTGATCAATGTTGTAACCTTACGCTTCATTTTATCTTCAATTTAGAAATGTATGACATATTCTTCCTTTGGGTTTTTTTTTTTTTTTAAGGTTTCATTGTGGATTGAGTGAAAGTTTACAGGGCACATTATCAGTTTTACATTCAACAAATCATACACCTTGTTTCATTACAATGATTATAATCCCCTCCATGTA